TTGGGCGCCACCGCAGAGAAAGCCCTCCTCCGAGTACCTACCCTCCTAATTTCCTTCACGGAGTGTTCCCGGAGAAGGGCCTCTCCCGCAGATCTCAAGGGGCGGGCGGGCATATATGGACGTAAGCGCTCCTTCAGGTAACCAGGACCCAAGCCATTGTTCCGTCTTTGACAGCCCTGCTCCACTCCTGGAAACTCCAGGCGGTGGCTTCCTTGATGGAACGGAGCCATCTCACCTTCGCTTCTTCTTCTGCATTCAACTTTCCTCAGCATTATTGTCATCTTCACTGAGTCGTGCCTTCTAACCATGCGCCTCAGTTTCATCATTTTTTGATTTTAGGGCAAGTTCTGGCTTGATTCAATGTAGGACCCACTTACTCACCTTTCTGTTGGTCAGAGCCTTCCTCCAGCACCAGATTTCAAACACATCCAGCTTTCTTCTCTGTCTGGCTGTCACACCCATACATGGTGACGGGAAATATACTCGTGCAGATGATCTTGGCCTTGGTCTCCAGTGAAGCATCTTTACATCGCACAATCTTTTCCAGTTCCTTCATCACTGCCCTTCCAAGTCTCAGTCTTTCTCTAGTTTCTCAGCTGTAATCTCCATGTGAATTTACAACTGAGCCAAGGTATGCCAAATCTTTCACGATTTCACTTGCTTCATGGTTGACAGTAAAGCTTTATAATATAATATATTTAATATAACATAAATGAAGAACAGTAAAGTTGTATCATTCTTCCAGTCATGACGTTCAGCTGCGGTCCTGCTTTCGCACCTTCTTTTTCCACTTTCAGTAAAGTGTGGTAGTACAATTAGTAGCAAATATTAATTCTACTAGCAGCAGCAGCAATAGTAATGGTACTATTAGCAGCCGTGCATTGGCTGAAAGCTAAATCAGTGACACTTAAGAAAGAGATGTCAGTCTGTACATCTGCTGTTGCCCTCTGCCTTCCCTCGCGTGTAACTAAACTGTGAGCATCCATTCCCTTTATGGCTCAAAGCGTGCTGGTCCAAGGCAGTGATGATTTAGAAGCCACAGCATCTGTCGAGCTCGTGGTGAGAAACGGGCTCTGATAAATAAGAGCTGTGAATCAACTCATGCAGGGTGAACTAAGAACGGCCGCTTGCCACCGCTTGGCATCTCCATTCAACAAGTCCCCAAAGAGCTGTTCGGGATGTCCCGAACACATGGTCAAGAAAATTAATTGCTCATTAATTAGTATCACCAACCTTCCCTGGCTCTTGTCCTATTTCTATGAAGAGCCCGGTGGCAATTTTGTTTCTGTCTAAAATGTGAGAAAGGCCCTCCTTTCCACTCATTCAGGTGCCCATCACACATGCTGTCTGTGGGCCAATGGACCCATTGAGCAGGTGCATGGATGTGGATTTTGGAACCTGGACTTCGGGTGTGGCCCTGCAAGTGTTTAGATGGAGAAAGTACGATAATTCCCAGCACAGGAACACCAGCAGTGGCAGGGATTCCTGATCAAGAAAAAGGTGTTCCAAGTCCCGAAAAAGGGCCCCAAGGAAGAGTTTTTCCAGGCCCCTGAGGATTTTGTCTCTCCTGTTTGAGGCGTGAATGGAGGCTTCGGCACCTCTAAAGTGGGTTGATGCAGGACAGGTGGATCAAGATAAAGGCACAACAAAGAGGAGGAGGAGGAGGGGGGGAGGAGGGGGAGGAGGAAGGGAAGTAGCACTTCCATCTAGATAAAGATACTCCATCTTTATCTACTAGTTGATACCTTACTGGGAGATAGTCTGGCCCTTCGACTTCAGCATGGCTAGACTATATTCTGTTTTGATTCCCTAGACAAGGCTGGCTCAGGCCTCCTGGACACTTGGCACTGCAGGGGGCTGCAGAACGGCATATGGGTGGGCTCATCTGGCCAGGGTGGGGTGCCAACGGAGAGGGAGCTGCCCGGAGCCAGGCCACGGCCTCATAAGAGCAGGAGAAGCGCCTCAGTGGATCAACCCAAGGACTGTCTAGTCCGGAATTCTGTTCTGGCTGCTCAGAATTCATCCAGAACAGAATTCTGTGAACAGAATTCAGAGCAGAACTGAGTGGCCAGGGAGATGCCCCAGTGGGAGACCTGGCAGGAGGAGGTGCGCACAATAATCCAGGTCATCTCCCCCAGAGGCGTTCCCTCTCAGCCGTCCCATGATGTCTGCACTGCTACTTTGGTGTAAAGCAAATTTCCAGCCAAATTTCCTCCCTCTTCCATGTCTTCTGAGTATATGAACGTCTGGCTTCCATTTCGGAGAATGACTCAGGGCTGCTTTCCACTGCTGAATGGGGCTGAATGCCAAAGCGGTGGAGGTCCCTCCTGGAATATATTAAAAATGCCAGTATAGTGGGAATTAAAGCTCTTACTTTAAGTAGCCCATCCTTAAGAAAGAAATGCCAAGCTTCTAGAATGGGGGAAGCTGCCCCTGAGCTGGGAACCACAGAAAGACAGAGCTGCGGGGAGGGCATGGGGAAGGGGCTGTGGTCCTTTGGGGAAGAACAGGTCATGGTCCTCTCCACACGACACGCCCACAAGTCTCTAAACGATCCCCTTGGAGTCTCCTCTTTTCCAGGGTGAAGAGACCCAGTGCCTTCATATATCATCCCAACCCAGCTATCATTCTTGTGACCCTGAGCTGAACCGATTCTCACCTAGCTCTGTCTCTCCTATAATACCGAGCCCAGAGCTGGATGCAGCACTCCAGTTGTGGGTGCGCCGGAGTCGTGCAGAGCAGCATCAGCACCTGCCTCCATCTGGACCACTTAGTGCTCCTCAGCTGTGGCCACCGCCTCCCCTGTGAATCTTGTCACCCGCCTCCTCCAGGTCATTGTTAAAAAGATGGAGCGAAATCAGTCCCATCGCTGAGCCCTGAGGGATTTCGCTCCTTGCTGGCTGGCACCTGATGAGTTCCTACTGATCGCTACCCTCTGCTTGTGCTCCATCACCCATGCCCTAACCCATTGAATGGTGCATCGATCTATCCCAAAACTCAGCAATTTCTTGACCAGGATATGACAACTCACGGGTGCCACCCTCATCTCTGTTTAGGCAGAAGAAGGTCTGACCCCTTCCAGCATTCTGCAGGGAACATCTTTTTTCTGTCTAAGCACACCAAGGATTGCATTGAAGGTGACTTAAGGGATCTTGGTGCCACTGTATAGATGCCCACAAGGTGGCAGGGTCGTTCCATGGAGAAGAACATGCTGGACAAGCGGCCTTGGTGGTTTAAGCCACTGCTGCCCTCGCTTATGCTCGTGCTGCAAGCCATCCATGTGGTCCAGAGAGAGACTGTGCCCCGAATTTCATTGCTGGGCATGGCTTCACCCCACGCGCTGTATTCCTCTAAGCAGCATCCGTCTGAGCGCATCGTCATCCTTGTGTTTATGTCCCACCTTTTCTCCTCTTGAGGGAAAACCAGGGCAGCTCACATAGCTCCATCTTATCCTCATCACAACAGCCCTGTGAGGTCGGTTAGGATGCGAGTCTGTGATTGGCCGGAGGTCGATCAGCAAGCCTCATGGTCTAGTAGGGACTAGAACCTGGACCTCCCAGGACCCTAGTCCAACACTCTTACCGCCACACCACACTGGCTCATGATTCGTAGTGACTACTATAATTGATCAAAATGGATTGATTATTATTGATCAAGAATGGGGGCTTAGCTCACAGAACACATTTTTGCTGCATGGGCCCTTGTGAACACACGTCTCCAGTCCTGTTATGCCATCATGCGAGGGCACCCATGTAACCAGGCAGCCTGTGGACCGGAGATCTTGCACGAGGAGTCGAGGAACACCAGAGGAAGGCAACGTTTGGCTCTCAAACCAAAAGAGGATGTGCCCGACATCAAGGAGCACGGCCTCGACGGCACACTGGGCAAGGTAACCCAACGTATGGCTTCGATCTAGAAGGGAGAAGTTGGGGTGCTCCTCCGTTTAAGCCTGCAGTGGCTGTTCCCGTGGCTGCTATACAGAACCAGGAAACAGATGGCAAAGCATGCAATGGAGCTGGGAATGCTGCCGAAGTACGGCCATTGAATCAGGTTAGAGCTCAGGGCATGCACATGGGTGCCCTTGCTTAGCCAGCCTTTGCGGGACCAAACAGACCTTCTGAGGCTCATCAGGGCCCGCACACGGTCTGAATGTATCCCTTGGTCTGTTTCGCCTGTACTGCTGCTGTCTGCAGATATATCGATAGCCAGCGAACCTGCTGTAGCTTCCTGAATCTGGCTGAGGCCTTCTGAACCAGCTGAAGTCTCTGAGCAGTTCTCAAAGACAACTGCACGTGGAGTGTGTTTCTGGGCCCCCAAAGTCACCTGCTGGGGCTGCAGGCAACCAATCAGGGTTCCTGGGCTGGCGGGGGGTGCTGCAAGCTGCCTCCACCCCCCAGCCATCTCCCAACAGATTGTTGCTTTCCACTGCTATAAGCAGAAGCAAAGATGAGCTCTGTCAGGATTAGCTCTACCAGTGGGAAGAAGGACAGTGCTGCTATTAAAATCTCCACCCCAGGCACTGCCTTGGGGACCTTCTGTAGGCAAACAGAATTCAGCCCCTTAGCAAAGACTTTCCTCTTTTTCACAGAGGACAATCCCTAGCTTTTTTCTCTTGTCCTTTAACTCAGCACCCGCTTTTCCTAAATCCCGTGGGAGCTTCACTCAGAGATTAAGGGTTTGGCCCTGTGATGTTGTCAGCGGGGGGCTGCTGGCAGCCATTTCTGCCACAAGGCAGCAAAGGAAAACCAGCCATGTGAGGCCAATTAATTAGCCCTCACTTTAACTTGGTGATGCCAGGAGAAAGTCAGAGAAGGAAGAAGGTCTCAAACGGCTGTCTTATTTTTCTCTTTTCTTTAGAGCAAAGAACAATCACAACAACGAATGGAAGGACAAGATTGTGTATAATGAGTTCTCTGCACAGGAACCCAGGAAACAAAGCCCAGATGGTAAATCGACTTTATTTTATTCTGGCAGATGATACAAAGTCTAAGCCACTGTAGCAGCAAAGCCAGAGCTGGGAAACACAGTCCTGCGTTCTATAGAAACATAGGAACAGAGCGAGTCAGAAGGGGACTCCTGGGCCATCTAGTCTGACCCCCGGCTCTAGCCGGCTCTGCTCATGACATGCCTAAACATGTGCATGTCCAGCCTTTCCTTGAACACCCTCACCAATGGGGCTTCAAGCATTGGGGCTCCCGTGGAAGCCCATTCCATACCCTCGGAGTCCTAACCATCACAAAGTACTTCCTGGCATCCACCCTAAATCTTGGTTCCCTGAGCTTTGCTCCATTGGAATGCATCCTGCCCTCCACTGCAGGGGAAATGAGGTCACAACCCACCTCTGCGTGGCACCCCTTCACATACCTGCATGTCGCTGACAGGTCCCCTCCGAGTCTCCTCCTCTCAAGGCTGAAAGGACCGAGCTCCCTCACTCTCTCCTCATAAGAAGGCTGTGGGCAGAATGAAAAGGGCCCCCAGCTAAACACAAAGGAAGCCCCTGCCTTTTGCGTGCAGGTCTTGGCACTGAAATGTGGAACCCGTGCAAGGTACCCCGTCAAGCCCTGCAAAACCAGGAGCTGGCGCTGTGCCCAGACCATGTGGAAAGCATCTGCCCCCTGGAGGGCCACGAACTATTGCTGCAGGGCACCTTCGGTGTGAATGTATGGAAGAAACAGACCTCTGCCCTTCCCACTGGAATTTTGATTCTGGATGGGGCTGCAGCTTGTTGGAAAGAGAGGCAAGAAAAGGAGGAGAGGGAGCTGGCCCCTTCCCCAAGTGGAGAGAGCTACCAATTCTCTTGTGTTCATGCACTTTCCCACCTGACCAAGAGAGACCTTGTGCTTCCCAGGGAGAGCCTGCAAAGAAACAGATCGTTTATTTCTGGAAGGGGGCGGGCCAGCTCAGCTCTCTTGTGTGGCCTCCACCAATAGACCTCCTTCAAGAAGTCATAGAATCATTGATTATAGAATAGTAGAGCTGGAAGGGGCCAGAGGGCCATGGGGTGTGACCCCTGCTCCGTGTAGGACCCCAAATCAAACCATCCCTCTCCGAGGGCTGTCCAGTTGCATCCTGAATGCCTCCAGTGTGGGAGAGCCCACCACCTCCCTGGGTCATGGGTTCCATTGTCATATGGCTCTAACAGGCAGACAATTTTTCCTGATATCTAAGAGGAAACTGGCTTCCTGTAACTTGAGCCTGTTATTCTGTGTCCTGCACTCTGGGATGGCTGAGAAGAGATCTTGTTCTTCCTCTCTGCGACAGCCTTTGAAGTACTTGTCGAGGGCTATCCTGTCTCCTCTCAGTCTCCTCTTCTCAAGGCTGAACATGCATTTGGATTCCTTTTCCTAGGTGCAGCTCTTGGCATCTGTCTCTACTGAGCATCTTCGGCTTCTTTCGGGCTGCTCTGGGATGCCGTTGTGCCTGTTGGAGGCTGCTGGGCACAGGGCAGTTGGTGGGCGGAAGAGACTCCACCGAGGTGTAAATGCCCCATTGGATCCTGCCCAGGCAAGGATAAGAGGCGGTACGAGTCCCTGCACTTACATACATGTAGCGTTGTTTTGGTTTTGGGTGAGAACTAAGGAATTATGAATGGGATTCATGGCTGGGAGAAAGCAGGCTGGGAAAACATCTCTGACTTTTGCAATGGCACAATGAACCAAAACTGATTTCATGATTAACCCATGGCAGATCTCCAGCTCCAGAGTTCGCTCATCTGTTTTCCATTCACTCACTGTCCAAATATCTCTTCCCTTCCCTCAAGCAAAGCACAGTTCTTCCAGATCTGACAACTGAGTATTTATGTGTCTTGGGCTATGGCTAGAAGGTTTGCTGGCTTTAAGTGATCTTTCCTCTTGCAAAAATGGGGAAAAAAGTGAAAGCACACCATCAGCTTTTTAAAGAGTCCCTTGTCTGATGGACAGTTGAGAAAGTTGACTGACTACAGTGAGAGGAGAGGAGAGGAGAGGAGAGGACAGGGGAGGGGAGAGGAGGGGAGGGGAGGGGAGAGAGGAACTCGGGGAGAGGAGAGGGGTGACAACCAGGCAAAGCACCTTTTCCGCTGCTGCTTCCCATCTCTGGAACTCCTTCCCTAGGGAAAGTCGCCTGGCACCATCTTTATTCTCCTTTCTGCACCAGGCGAAGATAAACCCTTTTAGGATTTTTTTAAACACCTAGCCTGAATGCTGTGGCCCTTTTTATATTGCTTTCACAGATGTTTTAATTCATTGTGTTTTAATTGGTTTTGATGTGTTTTACTTTGTTAATATGTTTTATGTATTGAGAGCCACCTAGGAGGGCCTCAGCAGTTATAGGTGGCCTATAAATACACGTATAAATAATAAATAAATACATAAATACATACATAAGAATGAGGTTCTGTCTGGATTGTTTATGGCCACTGATTCAGAAACCTTTTTTCTTGGTGAGTTAAGACTAAAGAGAGCAAAAATTCTGGCTGCTGTAATGGGCGCAGGCCACATGTCTATGCTAAGAACCTCAGTGCAGCAACTGGGCACTTATTGTACAAGCAAAGGTCCCAGATTAGAGAGAAACACAAAAAGGGGGACAGAAAAAGGATCCCATGGCCTCTCAGACCCGGCCAGGGGCGGGCAACGCCTGGGATCATGTTCCTGCCCGGGGGACCCACCAGGGCTTCACTCCACCACTGAACGCACATCCAAGTCTTCTGCGGCAGCCAAGCCCAAGTAGCTCGCATTTTCCATTGAGAAAAGCATGACTGGAGGGTTCTTGGAAGCCTAACCAAGAGGCAGGGATCCCGAGTGTCGCAGTGGAGAGAGTGCTGGACGGAAGGCCCGGGAGATCCAGGCTCTGGCCCTCTCCCATGAGGCTTGCTGAGTGACCCAGGGCCAGTCACTCTCCATCTAGCCTACCTCATGGGGCTGCTGCGAGGAGAAGTTAGACAGGAAAAGGAGGATCATGGGAGCTGCCTTCAGTGCCTTACAGGAATAAGTGTGAGATTCCAAGGTTCCATTTGGATGCCAGGAAGCACTTCCTGACAGTCGGGACCCCGAGGGTGTGGAATGGGCTTCCATGGGAGGTGGCTGAGGCCCCATCAGGGAGGGTGTTCAAGGATAGGCTAGACATGCACATGGTGGGCATGTTGTGAGTAGAGCCGGCTGGAGCTGGGGGTCAGACTAGATGGCCCGGGAGACCCTTCTGACTCGCTCTGTTTCTATGTTTCTATGATATAAATATAATAAATATATTACATAAATTGATACAAAATGTGTTTGTTACCAAGGTTACTCCAGTGGAACATCACTGCAATTTGGGGTGCAAAGTCAGAAATCGGGGCAGAAAAAAACAGCAGACTCTTGGCTACGGTTTATCAACCCCTGGGGTAGGACGTACTGGGGTAGAACAAGTTCGATTCTGTTCTGGATCACTGAGAGGTGCTGCACTTTTGTCCAATCTGCTGCACCATCATCCCACAAGAAGCTCGTGTTTGCAGCCAGTGCGATGTCTTCGTGTGATAGCAGAGGGCCAGTTCAGACATTTGCCTCCACACACACACACGGGAATCAAGATTTCTGCCCAGAGCATGTTTTGCATCCTTGGTCCCTGTCTCTGCAGTCCTCTGAACGCTGACATCTCCAGCTCAGATCTTCTTCTACTTTGGTACCCTGCTCCGTTTAGCATCCTGACTTTTCCGGGTTCAAAAGTGTGCAGATAATCTACAAGGGTCCTGCAGAGACGGAAGGAAATGGCAAGGGGCCACGAGGCTCATTACCACTCCTGATTCTGATTGGAGGGAGGTTGGAATTCTCGGTAGGTCTCAGTGGGGAATTCTCAATAGGACATTTGTCATAGGGCATAGTGACAGAGATGACTCGAAGGCGCACCTGCATCGTGATCTTTGAAAACAGGGACATTTTATTGATTGCACAAGACAAGAAACAGAGGGGGAGGGAGTGGGAGGGGGGTTGCTTTTGAGATTTAGCTGGATGACAGTGCATGAAGTCTAGAATAGAATCCCCACATTAGTATCATAGAATCAGAGAATGCTAGAGTTGGAAGGGGCCATGAAGGCCATCGAGCCCAACCCTCTGCTGTTGCAGGACACCGTCGCACCATCCCACTCAGGTGGATGTCCAGTTTCCTCTTGAATGTCTCCAGTGTGGGAGAGCCCACCCCCTCTCCAGGCAGCTGGTTCCACTGCCGTATTGCCCTGACAGTGAGGAAGCTTTTCCTGATGTCCAGCCTGAATCTGGGTTGTCGCGACTTGAACTGATTATTCTGCATACTACACTCTTCTGGCATCAGCAGGAAAAGATCTTGACCTTCCTCTTTGTGACAGCCTTTGAGGTACTTATAGAGGGATACCATGTCCCCCCTCAGTCTTCTCTCCTCAAGGCTGAACATGCCCAGTTCACTCTGTCTCTCCTCACAGGGCAGTGTTTCCAAACCCTGGATCCTTTTTGTTGCCCTCCGCTGGACCCTTTCTAATTTTCCTGCATCTTTCTTCAATCTTGGTGGCCAGAACAGGACATTAGAAATGCGGACATGGGTATCTAATAAGCAGGTGAAAGAAATGCGCACTGCACGTCGCAGGCACCTGTGCCTCAGGTTCTTGCAGTGAGGAAATGAACCTACGCAGTGTCTGGACCGAGGCCTGGGCTATGTGGAAGAGCAGGCAGGGGCACACGTGGTGCATCTGGGTCAGACGATGGCTCTGGGGAGTCTGTGGGTGTTGGGGCTAAGCAGATGGGGCCGCAGTGCTGCTGGGAGAGAGAGAGAGAGAGAGAGAGAGAGAGAACGGGGCAGCGGCTGGTGCTCCGGGAGGCTCGTCTTCAGCAGCACGTGGGCTGGTCCTTGCTCATGGCCACCATGGCAAACAGGGATGGCAGGCCGTGGGTTACCACCAGCACCAGCTCAGGCACCCACCGCAGCATGGAGCGCCTGTGCGCAGCCCGCTTCTCCTTGCCTTCCCTTTAAGGAAACTGGCTTGGCCCAACTGGTTTTTGCAAGGCAATTTTTCCAGGGTGGTGTGCCAGGATCCTAAAGGATATTTCTTTGTTTATTCAGCAGATTATTAAGTTATATTATATTATAGTTATTACATTTATATCCTCCCTTTCCCCTTTGCAATGAACCCAAGCTGCCTTATTTAGTTTTCCTCCTTTCTACATAATCCTCACAACCAGTCCCCTGGGAGGTAAGCTCAGCTGGGAGAGGGGCCCAAAGCCACCCTGGGGACCTTCATTGCTGAGTGGAGGCTTTAACCCTGGCCCCTCCAGTTCCAGCACAGCACTCCAACCACTTGGCTGTGCTGCCTTTCATATCTCTCACAGGACAGTGAAAGCCAGGAATTATCCCATTGCATTCTTATGTGAAATTGGGGAGCTTCATAAAACAGAGAAAAAGTGGACAGGGTCTGTGGCTGAATGGGGTTTCAGAAGGAAGAACCTCTAGCCCACAGCCAAGGCTCTTGGCTTCCCGTTGCATACAAAAGAGGAAGAGGAAGCCAAGCCAACCCGTAGGAAGCAAATACTGATTCTCAGATATAGATCTGAGAATTCTGGAATGGATTTGCTCCATGGTTTTATTTTGTTGGAAATGTCCATACTGGATCAGAATGATGGAGCTATAATCCAAAGTATCTGGAAGGTTCCAGATGCGGGAAGGCAGATTTAGGTCTTTCTTGGGTGTCTTTATTCCAGATCATCTTTGATTTTCCAAATCCCAGAAAATTTCACATACCTTCTCAGGCCAAATGCCTGACCAATGGGCTGAGGTTATAAATAGACTGCTGAAGAAGGAGTAGGTCTTCATCCCCATTTGAGCTTTCGGTTAAATTGAAAGCTGCAAATTAGGCTCACGTCTTCTTACATGCGATGCTGATGATGTTTTGAATGGGAGGAAGTGGTGGAGAAGTGGGCAGCCACCTGAAAGGAGATGGGCCTTTAATAAACATGCTCTGATTTTTTAAAGGCGAACCAATACTCTCATTGTGAAGAAAATGGGAGACATGGCAATGCTTTGGAAAGGGGGGTGGGTTGCCTTAGCAACCTGGAAAATGAAAGGCAAAGGCAGCCTATTTCCTTCCTGTTCGATGTAGAAACAAATCTGTCAGCCATGACTGGGGCTGAAAGCGAATATATATACACCCAAGTCTGCCTGATATAAAGGGGTCTTATCTTGCTACCTCCTAAAATTGAGAATAATTACCTGGCGAAAAGCATGCATAATGGTACACGGCCTCTCCAACTTGGCATGCTGAATTGCTTCCCCACTGAGAGCTTCTCGACTGGTTATGGGCTTGGGCGACACTGATTAGCCGGGTGCCTGGATTCAGAGCAGCCGCCCGTTGGACTGTGCGGGACTCAGCATTGCATCGAGTTCACTTTGGTGGCTCTGTGACAGCCTCACAGATGGGGCTCATGCTCCGCATTTCCCAGATTTGCCTCTGAGTGGCATTTTCTGCTTCTTCAGAATTGTCCAGTCCATTCTCATGGCATTTTCCAATGAGGCATGTCAGGAATGCTGCTCTCCACTTGCAGGTCAGGGCCTGGAAACCAGAGCACCCAACACTGGTACTGTGGGATCCAGACTGAATGATGCTTAGAAAAGATGCATGGTTGCTGAAATCCCATTGGGTCCCATTGATGCCAGGGGATCTACTCTCAATCTCACAAAATCCTCTCAAATAGTGAGATAACATTTGGAGAAGCTGAGCCAGTTTCAAATAGATCAGTAGAAGCTGATGTGAACAGACAGGTCTTTAAAAACTCGTTCCAAAAACACCAGTATATTCCCTGTGGCAGAGAGTTCCACAGTCATATGCCTACCATGAAAAGACCTCCCTCTGCTTCACTTTATATTTACAACAAGTTTGTGAGGTAGGCCATGCACAGAGCCAGTGGCTGGCATTTGGTTACCTGGTGAACTTCATGGCTGTCAGGGTTAGAATCCAGGTCTCCGGAGTCCCAGGGTCTTAGTCCATTTACCTTGTTGTGGTTGAGCATCAAGGAAATTTCCACACCCAACAGACCCTTGTCTGTTCTGTCTCCTCCCTGTGCAACAGCAATTTCCTTCCTCCCCATCCCTGTGTAGGAGCCACCAAAAATGTTTGCCCAGCAGCTCAGCGAGTGTCGGAAAGTCCCTGCTTGGATTCTGTCCCCCCAGATCATAACTGTGACTATGCCCTTGGAGTGGTGGGGGGGAACCCACCCTATTCCATGGTCCCCAGGGAGCCCTTCCAAAGGTGGTAGGATGTCTCGCTTAGTGATGTAGTACAGAGCCGTGCAGTGAGAGCCAGTGTGGCGTAGTGGTTCAGAGCACGGGACTGGGACTCAGGAGATCTGGGTTCGAGTCCCCACTCAGCCATGGAGCCAACTGGGTGACTTTGGGCTAGGGAGAGGCTCTCAGCCCAGCCTACTCCACAGGGTTGTTGTTGTGAGGGTAAGATGGAGAGGAGGAAAACTGGAGGAGAAGCTGCCTTGAGTTCCTTAAAAGGAAAGCAGGTGGGATAGAAATACCATGAATACATTTTAAACTCTCTGGGTTGTGGGGCTCAGAAGCGGCAAGGCCTTAAGCTGGCCCTGACAAAGATGTGACCTCAGGGTGCACCCCCATCTCCCTCACAGCTGGCAAGAAAATAGCCGCACTGGCTGCCTTCCTGAGGTTGAACATTGGCTTTGGGGGAGGAGAAGAGAAGGGAAAGGAGCCGGGGGGAAGGCGGTGGAGGCCCCGAGGTGAAGCGAGACCTCACCTTCCCTGCAGCGGTTCCACAGCGGGCTGAACATGGCCATCCGGATGAATGGCCCCTCTGCATCTTGCGCTGTGCGTTCAGAGCATGTCTGGAGGCTTATGTGCATGGAGGCTGGAGGCGATGGGATTGTGCTCTTACTCACAGCATGTGTGTCCCAGTTTTTGAGTTCTGGATAGGGCGACCCCTCTTCGTTCCAGACACTGCCTACCTTTCAAAACACCCTGAATTCAAGTTCCTAAGTGAAATCATTTTTTAAAGGGCAAATGTTAAGGCCCACATCTAAAGCTGGGAATTGGACGTTCTCAGATTTTTACGTTGTTTGGATTTTTTTGTTCTGAGTTTAAACACTGGAAACTGCATCGAGACGTTAATAACCAGCTGATCGATATACATAACCTGAAGTGGTTGCTAGTTCTGACTGTGTTCTGCTGCTTCTGAGAATTACCCATCAAAGGACATTACAAGCTTTTTAGGATTACGTTGCAAAACAAATAAGCAAAGCTGATTAGAAATTTCCTTTGTCAGCATTAATTGGTCAGAAGTGCCACATTTGGGAAATTCAGGTGGAAAGGTAATCTTTGGAACATGCAAGACTCATCATGCCGTTGTGCAAATGAAGGTTATTTGCTCCAAGGAGTTCAGCCGTGGTTTGATTAAAACACAAAATACTTTGTTGGAGTATCAGATACACAACTTGTTTTGCTCTCTCTAAGTCCCCTAAACATTCTAGGAAGAAACATGGCAATTATTTGTGGACAGAATGGAGCTAAATCAATGGTACTGTTTGTTCTTACAGGTTTTTGAACGTCAATTTATCAAAATGCTGAACACAAGGTGTGTCTGCCCTGCTTGGAACATGAGCAAGTATTTTTGTTCAATTTACCCAGAGGGACTTGTTTCCGTCAATGCTGGGAACACAGCAGGAGTGACTGCCTGCACGGTGAGAAGGCACGAGGTGGTGCCTGGGAGGCGGGTCATGGACACGAAGTCTAGGACAAGACGGCTGAAAATCCTCTAGGTTTTTACAAGATGCTCCTGTAAGAACATCTGATCTGAACATGCTGCTCTGGCTTTTGTAACCGGTTGATTGCTTTGTACTCCTCTGATTGCTGGAGTAAGGGCTCAGCCTGGGATGAACCCTCGTGGAATTTGTCCCTCTAGCATCCACAGCCCTGCAATGTTGTAAGCCGCCCCGAGGCTTCGGCGAATGGGGCGGCATAAAAATGTCTAAATAAATGAATGAATGAATAAATAAATAAATAAATGTGAGCCAAACCAAGAGGAAGCCGAGCCCGGGGCGTGATTCCTGGCAAGTGCTGCACGAAGGCCAGGGAATCCAACCAACTCCCGTCCCCAAAGGGATTTCTTGCACCTCCTTCGTCAAGGCCACCAATTGGGATGGGTTTAACATGGCACTAGACACCTTCATGGAGGAGAAGGCTAACCAAGACTGCTGGTTCTGATGGCTGTAGGCTACCTCCAGTGTCCATGTGCCCACGGACACAGTTGCTGGGGAATATGGGTGGAACGGGCATTCCTGCACACATGTCCATCCGTGGTATTGCTGGGGAAACAACAGAGGAAACCCAGAGGGAAGTAATATGCCCACCTTACCGTACTCGGTGCCCTCTAGATGCTTTGAGCTTCAGTTCCCATCAGCCTCAGTGGGCAGGCTACGGGCCAGGGTTGCTGGGAACTGTCATCAAAACCACCTGGGGGATACCAGATTGGGATGGTTAAACACTGTGTGGAAGCTTCAGATGCAAGCTCTCTGGATTGTGACTGGTAAACAAGCGGGTAGCCATTTCAGAATATGGCTCGGTTTATTCTAGTTGACTAGGTTTATTTTTTATAAGATTTAATGTCATTTTATTTTGCTGTTCTTGTGTACTGTTGTAAACTGCCTGAAGATCTTTGACTATCAGGTGATATGGGAATGGGATCATGACAGCAATAACAATAATAAATGAATAATGAGAGACACCAGTAGCAACGTGGAAAGGCCCTGAACCTGAAACCACCATTCCCTTCCAGATGCCCCGGAGATGAGTTGGATCACAACTCCTATCATTCCCAGCCAGCACGGCCATGCCAGTACAACTTATCTGGAGGGAATTGGATGGGGTTATCTAAAACCTACCTCGACCAGAAGGTTGTTCTGCATCAACCCCAGGCAGATAAAAACCTAAAGAGTCACAGATTGCTTTGAAGGTGCTGAGACTCGGAAAACACTCTCGTTCTCCTGAAACTGGTGCATTAGAATTCCCTCTGGCTGCCACTTTATTGGATATTTGACACCAGCCCAGCTTTGCAGGAAGTGTCTCCTCACAGGGATTGCCAACCCCAGCTCTGCAATCGAACACCGAGTGGTTGCAGACAGCCAGTGTGTGAGCTTGTCCGGGGAGTATATAAATTTTTCATCACCAAGGGCATCCCAAATCTCTGCGTTTGGAGATGAATAATTTTTCACAGGAAGTTATCGTCAGAGGTGAGAAAGACTTGTACGCATCCCAACCTCCCCTTCTCTCTTGTTGTTGCTGAAAAACCTGCCCCTGGTTTTGGGCTTCGTTCAGCAGACAATCCCAAAAGCGTATCTGTAATTGTCGGCCACTTGAAAATCACAATTGCCTTGGCCATCGCTGTGATTCAGCTATATTGTCTCATTATGTACTTGGTTACATCATAACATATAATTATGTCAAAATGAAAACCACTCTAACAGGGTTATTAATATGCTTCCTGTGATACCTGTGAGGTGTGATCCCATTCCTGACGTGAAGCATGTGTTTTGCTAGTTGCAGTATCTTCGATCCATGCATTGATAAGATTGTAAGCATGTACATTAAAACTCTGGAGAAATAATCCTTCAAAAATGAAATCTTTTGTGGTGCAGTGTCTGGACTGCACTGGACTGGGAAGTCCTGGCTCAAATGCCCAGTCTGCCCTAGAGATCCTTGGGTGACCTGGGCCAGCCCCTCTCTTTCCGTCTGAGCGACCTCACAGACTGGAGGTGGGGTGAGGAGAACCCCACGGAGACTGCCTGAACCTCCTTGGAAGAGAGGCAGGGACAGGCAGCCGAAATCATAGACTCCTCCCATAGGAAGGGACCTCGGATATCACCTCTGCCAACCCTCTGCTCAGTCAGGATTTCTACGATGGCACCGTAGAGGGTCACCCACTGCAGATGGTGACCATTATGGAACGTCACCAAGGCTCTGCTTAAAGACCTCAAGTGAAGGAGGCAGGCAGTCTTTTCCTGCCGCTTTGGAGTTCATGATCCATGGCCTGCTGCTAGTTATGTCCTACTTCCCCATCAAGGGGAAGGGCTTTCTCTGTGATGGCCCCAGAACCAGTGAACAGATTCCCTAGGGCAGCCCGCCTGGCACCCAGCCTGTCATCTTTTTGGCAGCAGGTTGAGATGGCCCTTAATAGCAAGGCCTTTAAAGACTTGGCCCACCAAAGGGCTTAGGGAGCTTGCCCATCCCAGCTGTTTTTTCAAGGTGATTCTTTGCTCTATGTCATACCTGCTTTAATTTTTTTAAAAAATTATTATGCTTTTATTGTATATTATTGTCTTGTTTTATAGATTGTACAAACCACCCAGAGAATTCCAGCTATGGGGCAGTATAGGAATTAAATTAATAATGAAGGTGATGTCATTTATGCTTTCCCCGCTATTGCTTATAATATTGGTTGTGTAGAATAACACAATTTGCATGTCACAGTGCAACATCAGCTTTGCTATATCTTTACATATGAGTCTGTTTATGAATGCAAATAGAGTCAGAAACGAACTGTCATGTGAAAACCAAGTTACTTCATGGAGGACATGCAATATCAGTAGAGGGAGGAAAATCTAATGAATTTTATGAAGCACTGGAATGGAACAATATGACAAAAACATTTTGACAAATAGGTTCCCCCCACACCCAGAAACAGGCACCCTTCTACAGCAGAGTTCACCTGTCTCTAAATGTTTTTTCATTAATTGCAAACATGACAGGAAAATTAAATGCTGACTGTTTTGGGCACCTTGCTATGTGTAATCCAATGATCAAAAACATCTTGCCAGCTCTTGCGATCAGAGATAAGAGCATCTTATGTTTGCTTCAGGTGCACAGAGCTGGGTAATGCCTTCATTGATTTTCCTCCGGATTGCTTACAATTTACCCCTCATGCCCAGACACTTAAAAAAACTGTCCACTCCTTGACAAGCTTGCAAGTGCATCTGAAAAATGTGTTCATTTTTTAAAGTGTACACTTAGACACACAAGTGCAGTTTCACTTTTGTCACTGGGGGAAGTGCACGCTTTTAATGCACACGGAAATGTGCACTTTTCGCATTCAAAATGCGCACTTCCTCATTTGAGCAAACCAGAATAAGCCATGACAAAGGAAAAATCGGAGCAAACTGAATTGAGCTTCGAGGTGAAGTTAGAATTTTGGTGAGCTGAAACTTTTCTAGTTCTAGATCATATTAAGCTCCATAAAGGTGGGGTATGGGGGGAATTCTCAACCCAGCCTTCTGGCCCATGACTTTTGGCTCCTGGAAGTGGAAGAGAAAACAGCACTCCCAGGTTAAGATACAAATTACCCAGGGCTGGTACAGCTCCCTTGGCATAGGAGGCATAAATTCCCACCAGCACCTATTTTTTTCATGGCTCTCCAAAAGAGCTGCTTTACTCCACCTAATGGTAGAGCCGGCTCTGCAACCAGCTGTTGTTGTATCCCACAGTTTTTGAGAGACCAGAGACCAGTTGGTATTTTTAGAACAGATTTTATTGCCTGCACAGGGACCAGCACAATCTCACAAGGGTGGAATTTAGTGCCGGCCCTCTGCAGAGGGAAAGCAGAATTTTTATACCAGGTTACAAACAAATGG